CTGGGTCTGCAGAAATGACGAGGCTAATGGATGAGGACGCAAACTGTTTTTGACATACGGAGCAGTAATATCTGGGAAAACTATCATACTAATGGTGGTAATGACGATGAGTGCTTCAGAGGTAATCAAAGGACGACAAGTTTTTGAATAACAATGATATAAGAAACGGTGATTATATTAATGGTCATGTGATTGTATAGCGTATTAAATGCATTGCTTGTAGCTAGACAATCAAAATGAAAGTGTCCTGCAAGGTAGGAAAATGGCAATACAGCCAAATGCATGGTAAGAGAAACAACAGTCAAATGTCTTATAGGCCTACTAACCATTCACATTATATATCAGACCGACGGTGATCAACAACTATTAGTGAATGAATGAATAACATTAAGAAATTCGCATACTACTGGTGAGTTTAAGTTGGAAAACGATATTGTCATACCATTAAACTTCATAAGCTATATTCAATAAAACATTAAGGTTATAGTAATTATACTTGTAAAGAAAATCGAATCACAAATAGGCCTATATATCTTCCTTCTTTATTTCAATACTTTATCCGAATATCAATGTCAGAGTTGCATAAAATCGTAACTAAACATCCGGGATAAACACAGGGGTATCGTCAGGATTTTCCCGACCTGAGGTCCGATGCTGGAGAGCCGATTATTAGTATTGTTAGTATTATTGTTATTACTGCTATTATAAGCATGGCCCATACCTTTGACCCTGACGAATAAAATTTGTATAAAATTTATGAAAAATAAACCACGCAACCAACGATAATTATACGTAAAGTCATTGTAGAGTTAATAACACATGGAAGCGTCCTCAATCTAAATACCCTCAAGCTTAAGTCTTTTAAACTTGCGATGGTATTGACATTGTGCTACCAAGGCCGTTATAAATAGGTTTTCACAAAGAGAAAATACATTCTGTAAATATAATCAACCACTTTATATGAAATAATATATGGCTTCATTCAGGTAATGGTTTAATGGCTACTTATAATTTCACTTCATAAAATCATACCATAATATCAAAAACATCATACTCTATCAGTTTGATATTGATACAATGCGCGTTTAACATTTGAATACACTTTCATCACCATCACCTACAACAACATCATCAAAATCATCATCACCATTGTCATAATTATTATCCTCATCATTATTATCATTATCATTTATTATCATCATTATTATTATAGAATGTCTTCATAACCCTGACCCTGACGGTTAATGTCAAATTTGTGTAAAATACGATACACCACTAGCTATAATAATTATACACACGTAGAGCAAATATCAGAGTTAATAAAATGGAAGTGGTCTTAATCTATAGTGCCACAAGCACAACTCTTAAATCTTCGCGCTGATAATAAGGTGGTAACAGACAAGGCCGTTAACAATAGGGGGTTTCATTCATTATTTAAGTACATGGACCAAGAATTGTCAATAGCGAACGTCGTACGACGGTCGTACAACCGTCGCACGACGAATCCAACTCCGCTCTCTTTGAGCGCTAGACCATGAAACTCCGTCTGATGATTGTCGATGGTCGTCTGAACTCATCGTCATTAAAAACGATCCGTTGCTCGCGCGTCGTCGCGTTGCGTTCTTCATAGAATCGCGTCGGCCGACGACGTCGGGCGTAGTGAGCGCTCGGCTTTAAAGTCGCATTCAAAGTCAAATACATATTTGCTCTTTATAAAATAAACCTCATTATGAGATTTTAGAGTAGAATTTTGGTAGTGGGTAAAGAAATCCTCTCATTTGACAGGAATAGGCTTAGGGACTTTGGAATTGAAAGAGCATAACCCTCAAGTAGGCTACAGTTACAGTACTACAAACTGACAGTTGCGTTGGTCTTCTTTATATATCAGCTGACCTCCATTACTGTTTCCTGATTCAAACATACGTTATTTGCCGAGGAATTTTTGTCTTCAAAAATGTTAGGTTCTTATTGTCAGTTGAAAACTAATCACTGGCAATACAAATAAAAACAATAAGCCCGTATGAAGGTCAGTTGGCATAAACCAACAGCACACACAACATACCTTTATGTTGATTGTCCTTGGGCACGGGCATGCGCATTTCAAACTACGAATTGGCTTATTTATTTAGATTTAATTATGGCAGTATATCTTTTTAAAGGATTTTTTTTCTTGTCTTAAAAACCAATATCCTACACCACACCTTAAACCCTGTCTCTTATACACATCTAGATGTGTATAAGAGACAGGTATAGGCGTTTAAATGAAAAATTATGACGAAAAGTGTAGACCATATATTTATTTCCAAAAGAACGTTTCGGTCAGTTCTCCGTCCTTTATCAGCTTTACAAAATTTGCCTTAAGCAAATTTTGACAAGAGTAAAGATCTACTTCAATAAAAAAAAAAAAAAAAAAAAAAATACCTGTCAATCCACAGAATGTGTAGCTGGATACTGAACAATACCCTATTATGTGTGACCTTGACTTTGTCCTCTGACTTTTTAACCCCAAAATGTAATCACTTCTTCCACTGATTAATATGTACCACTACATTAAATTTTATGATAATTTATTCATTAGTTATTGCGTAATCCTGCTAACAACGAAACAGACGGTAGTCTCTTCTTCCTCGGTCTCAGTCACCTCATGCATAATGTAAACTGATTAGCTGTCATGAATATTTATAATCAACTGAAACTTCTCGGCAAACTACAAATTTTCTATAGGCATGTGCGGTGCCAGCGGGTCTAGCCTAGGTTAGTATTTTGTTCCTCAAAAGATTCGCCGTGTAGATACCATTGATGAGCAAGATTTGGATGTGAAAGAGAAAATGAGTAAAAAAGAGGAAGAGGAATTAGTCCTAGGCCTACGTCAATGTAGGCCTAGTAGCATATTCAGAGTGCAAGCCAAACCTAGAAAAGCCTACGGTACGAGAAAGAGACCACATCTAGGCCTAGGCCCAATAAGCTGGTCTGATTTGTTGCTGGACATCAAGACGCAAATTATGAACAAGCAAGTTAACGTATTATTATAATCACATACAAACAATACTAATTAGGGCCTAGGCCTATGGCATAGGCCTAGGCACAATCATTTATTTCTAGGCTTAAATTATTATTATATTATTATTATTATTAGGCCTATTATTATTTATTATTATTATTATTATTATTATTATTATTATTATTGTTATTAAAATGAGGCTCAGAATTTAAATTAAAGTTTTAAATTAAAAAAAAGACATTAAAATTATTAATTTCAGAAAAAAATTTAAACAGACCCTGTGTATTCCAGGCTACAATTTGAAAACGGGTGACCAAATAATGAATTAGGTGCTAAATTTTGATTTAATGCTGGGTAAGTTAAAAACAGACATTCCTTTCGAGTGGGACTCATTCAAAAATTCGGGGGGTTCGCTAGAGAATAGGGGGGTTCGCTAGAAAAGGGGGGTTCGCCCGAACCATAAAACCCCCCTTGCTACGGGCCTGCGTAGGCTTTTCTATATGGCATGCACTACCTCAAACTCTGAATATAATACTACTAGTACTAAGCCGGCTAGACCTACACTGACTTTATCTAGGCCTAGGGTTAGGCCTAATTCCTCTTCCTCTTTTTTACTAATTTTCTCTTTCATATCCAAATCTTCTTCATCGATGGTATATCTACACGGCGGATATTTTCAGGAACAAAATAAGGCCCGCTATATACTCACTGGCACCGCACTTGCCGAGAAGTTTCAGTTGATTATAAATATTCATGACCGAACTCAGTGTAGTGTGACGGCTAATGAGTTTACATAATGCGTGAATAAGAGACTACCGAAACAGACAGAGCTACAGACAGTCAAACAGCCATGATTACATAACCTTCTTTGCAAAGGTGAAAATAAGGCCATACAAGTTCGTAATAGGTTTTATTTAAGAGTCAATTACCAATTATCTGTTGGCGTTAAAGTTTATAAATTTTTACTTGTTTTATTGAATTTCAGTACCGTAGGTCTCGAATATTCTAAATAAAATCAATATTTACTAATTTACAGACGTTTTGCTATATAAATATAATGAAAATCTTAAAGTATGCCGGCAGAAAGTTAAGGGTGGATATGTTCAAAGACCAGGAATGGCAATATTCAAACCAGGGAACAATTAAATTACAGTAATTTAACTGTTTCCTGATTCAAACATACGTTATTTGCCGAGGAATTTTTGTCTTCAAAAATGTTAGGTTCTTATTGTCAGTTGAAAACTAATCACTGGCAATACAAATAAAAACAATAAGCCCGTATGAAGGTCAGTTGGCATAAACCAACAGCACACACAACATACCTTTATGTTGATTGTCCTTGGGCACGGGCATGCGCATTTCAAACTACGAATTGGCTTATTTATTTAGATTTAATTATGGCAGTATATCTTTTTAAAGGATTTTTTTTCTTGTCTTAAAAACCAATATCCTACACCACACCTTAAACCATACCAGAACATAACACGTATCAAGAGCATGCAATATCTTACTTCGTAATATACAGTGCAATTCTGAATAAATGCAACAATCACGTCATAGCTTAAAACTTACCAAAACTGAAACATGTCACATAAGAAAGTATAATACATACTCCAAGTATTGAAATACACGCCATCGTGTTGGGATTCAATATTTCGACATTAATTATGTCATCTATAAAAAAAAATAAGAAAAAAGAAAATTCGACTAAAATTTTGAGTCTAGGAATGCCATTTCCTTCCACCTTGAGTTGCCATAATCATAAATTGTCGTACCTCACCCCCAACCATGGTGGGCTGAGGTAGTATAGACCCTCCACCTCTGAAAATCCCTCTCTGGGCCCCTCTTTTTCAAATTCCTGGATCCGCCACTGATAGGCCTATATGCCGGGTGTTTTGTCGATCGACACTCATGATCAGTCGTGGTAAAACATTGTGCCTCAACACTGTCTCTTATACACATCTAGATGTGTATAAGAGACAGGTAATATACAGTGCAATTCTGAATAAATGCAACAATCACGTCATAGCTTAAAACTTACCAAAACTGAAACATGTCACAGTCATTGTTATCATCATTTTGCATTATCATGGGTGGGGACATCTTACCCCAGGCGTCCCCACCCACTCGAAATTTACCGGGCAAATTACGATCAAACATTTAAAGATCCACCTAGCTCGCATTTTGCCAGTTAATTACCAAGTAAAGCCCTCATTCTTACCACATGCCCTCATCAGCCCCCATGTTTATGCCTAGATACGCCTCTGCCATCATCATCATCATCATCATCATCATCATCATCATCATCATCATCATCATCATCATCACCATTATCATCACCATTCTGAAACTCAAACCATGTTATTCCTAATTTTGTGTTTTTCCTTGGTATAACATTATAAAAACAAAGATATAGATTAATAATTAAATTTATTGGGTCCGGTTACTAGTTACTATGGTTCTTTTATGATGATCTAAATATCATGTATAAGTATAAGTGTGGTGTCAACTTACGGAACAAGGTCGACAGCTGTAACTGTGATTGTAGATACACTGGTGAAACAGGATAATCCTTAAAACACACATCAATGAACATAAAAAAAAAGAAGTAACAGATCATTGCAAAGGGGCAGATGAAGCAGACTCTCAGCCTCCAGCATCCTTCAGCCATCACAGACTACATGGCCACACACAAGCATAATCCTAACTGGAAAACTGTTACTAATAGAACATCAGAATAAAAAATAAAAGCCATAAATATAAGGTTACATCCCAACATGATCCCAATAGCATAAACTGAGATCAATTTGCATACAAACTACCACATTTTGTAGGTGTCTGAACACCCCGCTTGGGAAAGTTCACAGTCAATCAGAACCACCTAATAGTCCACTTTCGTTTTTATCTAAGCTTTTGCTAAGCCTTGCTGGAAGCAGGTGGAACGTCAATCCTTTAAGTTGACACCAATCTTACTCATACTTGATATTAATATTTGGATCATCATAAAAGAACCATGTACTAACGATCTAAATTTATTTCAATAATGAATGATTATTATTATAATTAATGATTATTTTTATTATATGTGTCTATTCTGTTTTAAATTATTAATATACATTATTTTAAGTAGGGTAACTTTTTTTCACTGACTTTCCAATTGTTAAGTGCTAAAAAATATTAAGTTGCATTTGCTCATATTTTGAGGGAAATCAAGATGCAATGATAACCTAAACATAGTCATCACCAACATCATCTAATCATAACCATGGTAGTCGTCTCCCTTATCACCATCACGTCCGTTATTATTCTTACCATTATTATCATTACCATCATGATCAAGATCATCGTCAGCATCCCCATAATCATCGTCGTCATCCTTCCCCCAAGAAGGTCCTCAGCAACTACAGAACAAATGGAGAGCGCCCTTTTCACAATTTATATTGTCTAATAGTATGACCCTTATAGTAGGCCATTTGACAAATTAGTCTCCTTTTCAGCCTTACTCCGGACGGGCGGGTCGGCGGTGGTGGAATTCGTTCTGGTGCAGTGGAGGATTGGGACTGGATGCTCCATGCTGTGTCGATGTTCTGGTGGACTAAAGTAGTTTTTCCGCCGCCGCAGCTTCTGAAGCTCCATTGCTTGATGATCAGCTGGTTGAAGTGACATGTGTTTTTTTCTTTTTCTTTATCCTTGATGTATTATAATGTACTCTGTAAAGTTGTTTGTTGTGAAATTATGAATAAAAAATAAATAAAAAACACCTTACACCGAATATTATACGTTAATATACTATTCCTCCTATTACATGAATTAAATTATTCATCAATCATGCGAATAATAATACCATATGGTCTGACGTCACACACCCCCTTAGATGGGTCGTGTTTGGGTGACAACCAACAATCAATAGGGGGCTTAACATCTTCTCCGGGTATTACAACCATGTGGCCATTTCCTTTATCTGGGTTGATACGATTCTGCAGAACCATTTGGTATGTGTTACCCTCGAAGAGAAATGTTTCTGCAAATTTGTCAGCAACTATGTCTAGAGATGGAGTGGTTAGGACGCCCTTGAAACCGTTGGTAGACGATGGTGCACCACTGTTATCAATCGAGATATTGCTGTTTGTCATCTTCGAACCATGGTAGCTCACAGGCCATTCGTTAGATGTAGAGTGTGTTCGATCTCCAAATTTTCCGAGCCAGATATCATCTTCGTATTGGCCCTTAACTTTGATTCCATGTCTAAACCACCCGCATGGGCGCTGATATCGGTAACCGCCTCTGATGAATTGAGTGTCACCATCATCCAACTTGGTGAAATCGTAATTAAACCGCCGATCAAGAAGCGATTCGTCTATTTCATACACTACCTCCCTCGAGTCTTCTCCAAACGAATGGACGTGGACAACTGAGCCCTGTCTGATTCCTTCTTGGCCGATATGATTCTCATCCTCAATTCGACATGATCTGTGAAACAGCTGCAGATTATCCTCAGGAAGGTTGGCTTTCAAGGCTACACGTCGACGCAAATCGGACACAGTAGCTTCACTCGAGATACCCAATACATCTGTTGAGCCTCCAGTACTCTTTAAAAGTACATCAATTTTTCCAACTCTAGCGCCATCTCTTCTCTTGACGCTCATCAAAGAATGATTTGTGAAGTGAAATAAATCGGGAATTGTCAATTTCTTGATCAGAGGATGACCCGGCAATTTGGCGCATTCTTCTGGAAGTAAAACTCTGACTCCCAGACATGCGCTAATTCCAGCTGCTACTAGCTTAGGTGATGACAAGTTTGGTTCTTTTGGCTGTAAATGGATAATAAAATTAAATAATAACAATAATAATAATAATTATTATTATTATATTTAATACAAGTATAGTAATAATAACAGCAAGAGAAACAACGTAAATGAATAACCTTTAATATTTAACGAGCAAGACAAGCAAAGCATTAACAACAATGGCAAAGACATTAACAGCATCAAGAACAGCCAGAAAGACATCAGAATAGCAAGAATAGAAGGATCAGCAAGAATAGCAATGACAGGAAGAAGAGCAGCAGCAGGAAGAAAAGCCTCAACAAGAAGAATATTAGCAGCACCGACAGAAGCAGCAACAACTTCATGGCGATTATGCCTAAAGCTCTGTCTACACTATCAAATTGTGTGTGACAAAAAAGTGTGATATGCCCATATATAGGCATGATGACATCACACCATGACCATATATAGACATAGCATTACCATATATGGGCATGTCAAATTTTTTTTCTGTGAGTTGAACTTGCCGAATGTATTAAAGCCTCCTCCTATCCAACAATAATAATAAATCATAACAATAAAATGTGTAATTTATCGACTCAGGGATAGATAATTTGTCTTACTTACTTTAGCACCATATTGCATAAGCTGCTGGAGAACTTCACGTGCTTTTGGTCTGTCGTGGTAGTCTCTCTGCAGCATGCTAGTTATCAGCTTTCGCAAAAAGTCATCCATACCGGCGGGGGCGGTATATTGGTGAAATGGATTAGCATTCATCAGTACGCCTAGAAATTTGCTCTCGGTCTCTCTTTTCAGTTCTTCGCTTAAGGTGGCACAAAAAACCAACCCCATGCTAAAAATGTCAGCCTGTAGGTTGTAATGCCTGTTCAGCACCCCTGGAGCCATGTACGCTAGAGTCCCTTCGCCAGTGTCCATGTATATTTCCTCAACATCTACGTTACTTCCAGATCCCATCAAAAGTTTAGCCAATCCGAAATCAGCTATTTTAGCCACATATCTGCAGTCAACCAACACATTAGCTGGCTTTAAATCTCGATGTATAATTGGTATTCCATGGAGATATGCTAATCCTGCTGAAATATCTTTGATAAATTTTATTCTTTGTTTTTTACTAGGTCGATGTTGTTTCAAAAACTTATCCAAAGAACCAAACTCACAGAATTCAAGAACAATGCATCCTTTTCTAGAATCAGTCAAAAAATCAACCAATTTAACTATGTTTTCATGATCAGCTTCTCGTAATGATTTCACTTCAGATTCCTCTTTGTCGTCCATTTGTTTCAGTGTTTTGATGGCAACAACTTCTCCAGTCGTGCGATGCTCTGCTTTATGCACAGTGGCGAAATTACCTTCTCCGATTTTGTATAACAGTGTGTACGGCAATCTGCGTTGCGTATGTTGTTGAATGAAAAGTGCTTCTGTATCAGTTCTAGAATGCCTCTTAGCCATGATTCAATATTATTAAGCGGATAATCTGTAGGTCTGATATAAAATAATGCAAAGACATTTGTCTAAACATCCCTTGACAATTTCTCTATTAGTAGTATTAGGCCTAGTAGTAGTAATAATGATGATGATGTTGATAATGATAATAATAATAATAATAATAACAATAACAATAATAATAATAATAATATGAATAGTCATATAATATGATGATAATATTACCAATAATAATAATAACAATAATAATAATAATATGAATAGTCATATAATATGATGATAATAATACCAATAATAACAATAACAATAATAATAATAATAATAATAATAATAATATTAATGATAATACCAACGTAACTATAGCAATAAGCCTAACTTTTTTGTGTATCCAACTTTCATTCATAAATAAAACAATTAACAATAGCAATTGACCTAATAGTAAAATATTACTGCCTGCACTTCTCTTCGACATGATTTTCCATAATCAGGACAATAACCTGTCTTAGCTTGAAATCTGGAAATCTTAATCAATAATTATAAACAAACTAATATCTTCTGGTTTCGTATTTCTATTTGTTACAGCATATTGTGACTAACTGTAATTAGATGTTTATATCAAATCCAATGTGTTTAATTCGTCATATGCCAACAACTAACATTATTTCCGACCTCTACTCTATTGAATTGTGCTACTAATGTGGACAAAATATGCAAATTTATTTATCATGTCATCCACAATCAAGCCATATGTATAGCATGTTAAATAATGAATTATGCCTAACATATCAGTTTTTTCTTACATTGAAAGAGAGATACACCCCACCCGTCCTGCAGTAATTTGAGCTCCACCCAAAATTACTTTTAATTTTCAATTTATGTGGACTCTAATATACTTTTGTAGCTAAAACGATGGCATGAAATTCCTCAAATAGAGTTGATTAACCAACTAATTATCAGTCAAAAATACTTACTTTTATGAGCGCTTATGGGAGGTTTAAACACCAACTTCGTTTATTTTATTCAATATATAAACATGACGCATTTTGGTTTTCCCAATTGCACGAGGCGGTGCGGAAGTACACGTCACTTAAAAAAAGCACTGTATATAAGAGGACGGGGAAAATTTCTGAGTGTGCCAAATGGTCGAATCAATACATTTTAAACCCCTAATAAGGAGACACTATTTTTTTGTCGTACCATTAATTTTTGTTATTGTATCACTACAAGTACAATACAATAATAATAATAACAAATGTCATACAAATTCATATTTTGACTTTTGCTTAATAAATCTTGCATTCATGATTTTTGAAATGGATATCGGTGAAGGCCCACTGTGAATGTTACTTTGTATAACTTAATCTTTTCAACTTTTACCCTTGATCATAGGAATTATGTCTTGTGTGTATTTTCTTGTTGGATTCAAAATCCGTAGTGCAACCTCCACCATGATTTCTAAGTCATTATTCATGTTGCTGTATCTTCTATAGCACTTCAATCGAACAATATCCAAATCTCATTATTTTAATTACATTCACTTAGACGTCATAATATATTACAATTTACCATGTTTAATTATATATTATTACTCGTTCTTACGGTCACTGTTAAAATAAAATTATAAAAAAATAATATGTCATCATTGTATGACTACATTCCAAAAACCTATTAAGGGAACAATTTCACGTTGTTTGTTAGTGTCCCCTAAATAGTTCCCTAGGAACTGTATATTTGATTAAATCATTTTTATTATTCTCAACCGACTGTAATATAGTTTACCTAATATTATTACAGGTGTTAATCTTGAACCTCATCCCTGGAAGCCATAATGACATAAATCAGCCTACTACGGAAGCTAATTCTTTTGGCATGTCATATAATTTGGCCTACTGCGGAAGCTGATATTATAGGCCTGTCATAATAACTTGGCATATTACGGAAGCTAGTTCTATAGGCATGTCATATAGTTGGCCTACTGCGGAAGCTGATATTATAGGCCTGTCATAATAGGTTGGCCTACTGCGGTAGCTGATTCTAGGCCTATTGTCTTTGCCTTCACATCGGCTCATCGTACTCAGTTTTATCTACTTATATTTTATCGTCTAAATTGATATATTTTACTGCATCTACATGGTTAATTATAAACAGGAGCGTTCATATTATTTTGCATTAGCAGGCAGCAGTCTGTTCCCCAACAGTCTGTTAAAGGACCTATAAATTATGCGACAGTTTTGATTTGATTTAAAATTAGAGTATGTTATTATATATTAATTCATTCGTCCGTCCATCCATCCATCGATCAATTAATCAATCAATCAATCAGTCAATCCATCCATCTATTTCCTTGTTTATTCGTTCGTTATTCGTCCGTCCGTCCTTCAATCAATCAATCAATTCATCTATCCACCAATCCATACTACCTACCAACCATCCAATCCACCATCCAATCAACCATCTATCCATCTATTCATCCATTAATTAATTACCGTAATTAATTAATTAATTAATTCATCCATCCATTCATCCATCCATCCATCCATTCATTTATCCATCCATCCATCTATCCATCCATCCATTTATGCATTTATTCATCCATTCATTCATTCATTCATTCATTCATCCATCTATTCATACATTTATTCATCCATCCATTCATTCATTCATGCATTAATTCATTAATTCATCCATCCATTCATTCATATCTTTATTCGTTCGTTTATTCACATTTATTTGCTATTTAATCATTAATTAACTTGATGATAGGTACAACATACCTGACTTGTATTGCATTGGTTTAAATTATATGAATTATAAATGACCAAATACGGGCTGTGTCGCTTATTTCAGTGCTGGGGACTTTGTGCATCGTGTATTTAAAGAGAAATGGCGCTTAAATATTATAATTATTGTGTATTGAATAATACCATGTACATACATGCTTATCTGAATTGTGCGGAAGGAGCGGCGAACCCACACCCTCTGTCCACCACATCTAGACTCAAAAATCCCAAAAGGAAGAAGAGAGAGGGTACTCCGGTCTGTCAAACCCAGCTCCGGTTTCGGCTTTGCCTTTACCTTACCGATAGTACGAATCGAATACAGATACAATATATCTCTGTTATATGTGCCATCTTACTTATTCGAGAACGGAGCACCTTTGGTGCGGCTCATTAATAATAATAATAAATAATTTTCGAACAAGTTTACAGTTTACAGGTCGATTAGCATTGTACAAAAGCACGAACTTATCACCGTCAAGTACATTGCTGGAATATCCAAAGAGGATCGCTTCTCGGACTCTATGAAGATTCGCCATGATGGTAAGGCATGATCCTTGCTCAAAAAGTTTTATCACGTTATGCATGACGTCATCATGTTGACTCCTCGTCGACTGAAATCGAAACTGATTTCAGCGGTTGATCATGAGCAGTGAACACGTTGACGGTCCTCTCAGTCGACGTGAACGTGCTCGACGTTCACTCAATCGAAAAGTCCCTTAGAACTTACGTCCTGTCCATACTATCAAATTTCCTTTGACAAAAAACTGTTGTACGCCTATATAAAATCATGATGTGCGTATATATTGTCATCATGTGATACGCCTAGTCTGGACAGGACAATATAGATCATTGAATGTATTTATGCTAATAAGTTAGCAACAAGTTCTTTGGTTAACGAACAACTTTATTTTATTTAAAAAACGAGGTCAACAACCTCTATGTCCTTACTGCCGCACAAAAACCGTGAAAGCACCTTAAAAAAACATAAAACTTTGAATTGCTCATACGTACATTCAGCGCTCCTTCGCATCGAGATGGTAATAGGCCTATTTTCAAATGTCTCCTTTCACCAGCAATATAATTACCAATGTTATGTATTGTTTGTATTAAAAAAACAAAAAGTGAAGGAATTGAAAACTACTACTTAAGATATAAGTTTTCAATAAGTGACGAGTAAATTCTATTTCAATGATTTCAGGACGTTTTATGTAACATCCTTAATTGCTGGCAGAAATTTAAGGGCATATTTTAAAGAAAATAATTTAATTTTATAGTTAGAACTACTTGGCGATAGATTACGGTATATTATATTACATTATATAGATGTGTATAAGAGACAGCCTATAAATTATGCGACAGTTTTGATTTGATTTAAAATTAGAGTATGTTATTATATATTAATTCGTGGGTGAGTGTGTGTGTGAGCCCTCAAGCTGTATAAATGGAAAGAGACGTGCCTCTGTGGTTCAAACAGTATGACGAGAGATTGCGCGTTCGATTTCCACTTTCGTTGATGAACTACGTTTGGTACGATTTATAACATCATTTACCCGATATTTGAGCACTGTATTATTATTTATTTGATTTATACATTATTTTTCTTCCTAGTGCTAAGCAGCTAAAACTTGATTTATATTCAGTATATAAAAAATAACATAAAAACTTGATTTTAATATTATTTACTATGATTTCCTCTGAAACCTCTGTCGTCTATACAGAAAAAATACGACAGTATATACGAAATATACGACAGTATTTCTAGCCGTATTATTTCTGTATAATGCTGTCGTATTATTTCTAGCCGTTTTCCCAGATTTATCTGGCCGAACGCCCTCTTGAGGCGTAGCATTGTATAATACAATGTTCCCGACGGTTATTTGGACCTGTTCAACCATGAAGCCTTCGTGGTCTAGTGGTTATGACGCTCGCCTTGTCAGCGAGAGGTCACAGGTTCGAATCACGTCGGAAGCATTTTATTACACAATGACTTTTATAGGACTTTATTATTATTATTTTATTATTTTTATTTATTTATTTATTTAGGCACACAATACATGTGCCAAGGATTGTCAATAGCGAAAATATCACTGTCCTACTTGTAGGTGACAATCCCTTACACAAGACAAACATACACACACGATGCTTTACACAAACTAAATCTCAATATGAGATTTAGGGAGTGGAATTGTTTTGGTTCAATATTTTTATGCACAAAAGTATACATATTTATCTAATCTAATCTAATTGGTTGTGCACTTGTAAGAATGTTTGAGGTTTGTGAGCGACCCTTTGCAAACATACAATACTCTATGTTGTATATTATAATGTTTGGTATGCTTAAAAGCATACATTTAATTACTCATTGTATGTAGGTCTACAGTTTCGTCTGTGTATACAGTACCTGCATATTTTGTCAGTAATTTGGTAGATGTGTTCCTTTTTAATTACATCCTTTTTATTGTTTACTTCACTTGTTAAAATGTTTGATTTTTTTTATCGCGTTGAACGCACCACTCTTGTGTGTGCCGCCGTTTCAAGGGCGTATGTTCACAAAGTAAATAAAAATAACAGATAAATTTATATATATATATATATATATATATATATATATATATCAATCATTGGTATATAATAGAGGTTAACTCTAAACAGTCTTGCGATGCATACGGTATTACGAAGCACTTTGCAAAGCAAATCTTTAATTACGCATGTCGTTAGTTGTCTTTTTGTGTGTTTATTTTTATATTTTGTTCAGAGGGTCTTCAGGGACAGACCATTCACTGGTCTCTATGTTGATTTTCGACCATATAGTAAACGTTCGCCTTTTTGTTGCGTACAGTATTTGGTTCATTGCTATTGTTGTCAATTATGGTTAATAAATATATCTTGAATTATATTGAATTCTATAATTATATATAAATTCTGAACATCAATGAAGATGAATCTGTAGAATGCTTTAATAATATATACATTTTTAAAGAGGAGGAATCTGCGAGTGTGAAAAAAGTTTCCCCACCAGGCTTCGAACCCGTTACCACCTGCTGTCTATGCAGACGGCTAAACAACAACTGGGTTTTATATATTTCTCAATATGACAGATAGGGCCTGGATTCTTATAGGCCTACAGTAGAACCCATTGTCAAACCAATAAAATTTAACCCCAAAGGGATACTTTTTTTGTTGTATAAAACAACTAAAACAACTACAGCTGTGGTTTCAAAATAAGAAAAAAAAAAGCATTTAAATCTATATATTGACACCTTTTGAGAAATAAACCTAAAACTTAATAAACATCAAACCAAAATATTTTTTCTCAATATCTAGAATGGACATTAACTCGGCCTAGTGCATGTGTCACTGTGGTTCGTATAAATACAATCTTGTCAATTTTAACCATTAAAAATTGTGATTTCTTGTTTAATGTATTTTCATATAGGATTCTAATCTATACGGAAGAGCCTGTATTACCCTGATTTCTGAATCGTTACTCTATTCTATTCATGCTTATCTATTTTGTGCATCATACAGGAAAAAAATGGTCATACTATTGCACTTGAATTATGAAATAATATATATACAACTTTTGCTGTTTTATGTACATTTCTGTTGATTTTACATCATAAATGAATTCTTTTTGTATTGCAAATTATTGTTATAAAATAGTTATAATTTAACTGTAACTCATTCTTATGCCAAGTAAATAAAATTATAAAGAATGTATGTCATTATTGTACGAAAACATGCTAAAAAACCCCCCTATCAATGGGACAATTTCACATTAGTGTTCCCTGAATAAGGTACCCCTATTAATGAGGCACCTTTTTTGGTCCCGAAGGTGTCTCCTTAATAGGGGTTCCACTGTACTTACTCGAGCACCATATTGCATGAGCTGCAGGTGAATGGCACGTGCTTTTGGTCTGTCGTGGAAATCTCTCTGCAACATGCTTGTTATAAGCTTTCGCAAAAAGTCATCCATACCGGCGGGGGCGGTATATTGGTAAAGTGGATTAGCATTCATCAGTACGCCTAGAAATTTGCTCTCGGTCTCTCTTCTCAATTCTTCGCTTATGGTGGCGCAAAAAACCAACCCCATGCTAAAGATATCAGCCTGTAAGTTGTAATGACCTTTAAGTACTTCTGGAGCCATGTATACAAGGGTGCCAGCTGTAGTGCCCAAGTATATTTTCTCAACATCTCCTGTACTTCCAGGTCCCATCAAAACTTTAGCCAATCCGAAATCAGCTATTTTAGCAACACGTCTGCTGTCAACTAACACATTAGCTGGCTTTAAATCTCGATGTACGATCCTCATTTCGTGGAGATATGCTAATCCTGCTGAAATATCTTTGATAAATTTTATTCTTTGTTTTTTGCCAGGTTGATGTTCTTTTAAAAACTTATCCAAAGAACCAAACTCACAGAATTCAAGAACAATCAATGTTTTTTCAGAATCATTGATAAAATCAAGAAATTTAACTATGTTTTTATGATCAGCTTCCCTCAATGACGTCACCTCAGATTGTACTTTCTCGTCAAATTCTATCAATATTTTTACAGCAACAGCTTCTTTAGTCGTACGGTGCTCTGCTTTATGCACAGTGCTAAAATTACCTTTTCCGATCCTGTCCCCCAATATGTACGGCAGTGTTTTTACTTGTTGCGTAATTCCTTGAATGAGAGGTACTTCTGTTTCAGGCCTAGCACTTGACGCACCCATGGTTCACTGATTAGCCTGATTGGCACACGACCTTAGGTATAATAAATATCAAATGACGATTGTCACGTCTTCTCCATTCAGTACTAGAATAATAATAATAATAATAATAATAATAATAATAATAATAATAATAATAATAATAATACGTGACGATAATAATTTAATTACAATGGTAACTATGATGACAATGATAATGGTAACGATACTAATACTGCTAATGGTATGGTTACTGCCCCCATTAATGCCCAAATCTGTTGATTAAAAGGGAATAAAATAAATCTCTCCCAACCACCTCATTTTTTAGTCCGACAATTCGAGGTTGACAGCGACGCTGGCGAGCTGCGATACTGTTATTATACTGTTGTTGTTTGTTATATATGATGAACTTGTCTTCCTGAAATGCCTCAAATAGAGGACAGTAACCAACTAATTATCAGTTAGGCCTAATGATTAACAAAATACTTACGCGAAGACATAATGACATAATGTACTAGGCGTTTATCTACAATTTACATGCCAAATTTGCTCTATCTTTGATAAGGATACTCTAAACCTGGTATTGTTGACTAAAATACATTCTGGTTTTCCCAAATGTGGCGGAAGCATACGTCATCGAAACCATTTATGTGCGCATGTACGATCAATAACATAATACAGTAATAGGCCTAGTATATATTCTTAAAGCTCTAGGTGTTTTCAACCAAGAAAATCGTTATGGATGTCAACATTGGTTATAATAATATTCAAGGTTCCTTTACTCTTAGTGACATTATTTCACGTTCATTACAGTAAACTTAATCCAAACGGCTGATGTACAAGATATATGATTATAAGATTGTTTTTGTAAACTAAAATGAAACAATGTGTAAAAATAATTCATTTGACCAGTGATAAGTACACATTATATGTATTCGGTAGTTGATTCATAATCCGTGTGTATAGGTCTACTCTAATCAACTGATTGTTGTTGTTTATTATTATTATTATTATTATTATTATTATTATTATTATTATTATTATTATTATTATTATTATTATACTAGGCCAATATTCCAATGCTGTTAGTCTTATATCCATTATCAATATCACATTATTCCAGTAATAATTTTATATTTTTTTGCTGGAAGTGAATAATTAATTTTAAATTTAATTTTCTTTTTTTTTTTAATGAATATATATATAGATTTAATTATTAGTGTCAATGTGCAATGAAATTTTATTTTGTCTCTTGTAAATTTTATTCATTCTAACTGTAAACTGTAAATATACTATAACCTTTTAAAATTATTCTCAGAAACTTTTTTCAATTTTTATACATTTCAATTTGGAATTTATTTACAGTACTCCTTTTTTTCTTTTCATGATGTGTAATGTATATCTAAATTTAATTAGTCCCAATGCACAATGAAATTTGATCTGTCTGTTGTAAATTTTATTCTTTTATTCTATTCTTTCTAATTGTAAATTGTAAATGCTGTAACCTTTTGAACTTATTTTCAGATAATTTTTCTATTTCTATACAACTAAATGTTAAACTTAAATATTCTTTTTTCTATTTGACACATACATTTTTCATGACGTGCAATATGTTTGACTGTTCGAATTTTGTAATTTTCATGATCCTTTACGTGATGCAATAAAGAAATAATAGGCCTATTTTGCTGGGTTTTTTTAGCGGAATATTATATATATATATTTGAGGTAAATATTATATTCCGGTAATATTTAGTTTTTCCTGTAATTACAAAATTCATATTGTACATCAATACTGATTGGATTAGATTTATTCAGTGTAAATACCAAGGATAGCCCTCGAAAGTCTAGAAGAAGACTGATTTCCAGTGGGGTCCTTCTGGTGGTGATTGAGCAGTACACCGGGAGACAACACCCTACTCTTTTCTGAAGAGTGTACTGCGTTCTTTAACGTGCACATGTGCAATGCACAGGGGACCAATGGGGACGTCTCATCCGATAGGCAGTGCGCTATCGTAACCTGTATTTCAGCCCTCCAGCTGAAACACAAGGAGAGGCAGCGATGGGAATTACACCGGGGACCTAGAGATCTCCACGGTTCAGCGCACACACAGTGGCTACACCAGATTAGCCGACTGAGAAAAGCTGCTAAATTTAAAAAATGTTTATGCTTTCTTGTTGATATTTCAAGTGAAGAAAAAAGATAAACCATAGATAAAATGTACACCGTCAATAAACATACTTTGAATATAATATGATAATCAAATATTATTAATATTAGTGATAAAAATAATACTATTAGACCTATATATTTATTATTATCATTATCATTATTTATATCATCATCATCGTCGTCATATAGCCTATCTTCATTTTCATTTACCATTATTATTTAGTGAATAGAGGTACCATAATAATGCGCATCCCATTTGATCATTAACTTGGAATGCGCTATATTATAATAATAATAATAATAATAATAATAATAATAATAATAATAATAATAATATTTAGTGGCTACCACCAGATTAACAACTTAGCTATAGAACAGTGTGTTAAATTACTGCAGTTGACTTTATTCGTATTTTATTCAATAAATTCTTTTAAAATGTAGTATGTCATAAAATTTATTATTAAATTATACATGTAAATATAATGTGATGATTATTATCATTGTAAATAGGCCTATTATACATTAATGACAAACTACAGTAAACTGCCAAAACATTTAAGTTGCTAACTTATATATTGATACTACACATGCATAAGAGCTCCTAAGCGTTTTTACGTGTCCCCTTTTCATCAGAAATATAATGGTCCTTTCCGATAAGCCCTGCCTCTGGATATTGTAGTATCCCACAAAACGACCAGTGTTAAGAATACACAAAAAACAAGTGTGCGTTCATGGGACAACACGTTTGCTTGTTAGACACACACATATTCCTCGAGGAAAGCAAACGAGGTGTTCCACACGCACACTTTTGTGTATATTTAACACTGTGTCGTTTTCAGTGTTTTTCTACTGATTGGCCAGATAAGCATGATTTACACTTCGAAAAGGTCCATTACCAAATATATGTCAACCTTAATGAATGAGTTGAATTATAGAGCATAATATCAATGTATTATGGATCTAAAGTCTAATGAAATGGTTTGAACGTCTGTTAAGGATTTTCTCATTCTATACTTTTCAGTTGAAAGGTAATAACTTTGAAAATATAAATATACGTCTCGTCAACAAGGAGAACAAAGTGGGCTTGGTCGGGCGTAGCTCAAGATATTTCGAAAGTGGCCCAGGATATCCCCAAAAAAATAAGACAATTTAGGGGTTTCACATTCTTATTTAATCAATTTTAGAGTCTACTATTATGTCTATCAAATACCTATAATTTATATTTTCTCCCAGACGAATTTATCATCACAACCATCGTCATCTTTATCAATATCATGACCATCATCGTCATCATCTCGTCGTCATCGCCATCATTATCATTATCATCATCATCATTATCATCAACATCATATCCTCTTCACCTACTTTGTATTATCATACATTAACTAGTCTTAGTTATAGCAGTTTACAGACAAATGAACAGCAACCTGTAACCGATACCATACTCTATTGCTGCTTTACAGTATACCATCGTTCATTCAACGGCCATGCGAATAAGAATACCGTATGGTCTGACGTCATAAACGTTATTATATGGGTCTTGTTTTGGGGACAACCAATAATCAATAGGAGGCTCAACATCTTCTCCGGGTATTACAACCATGTGACCATTAATATCATCTGGGTTGATCCGATTCTGCAGAGCTATTTGGTATGTGTTACCTTCGAACAGAAAGGTTTTTGCAAATTTGTCAGCAACCATGTTGAGAGATGGGGTGGTGAGGACGCTTTCTACACCGTTGGCATCACTGTTTTCAATTGCGATATTGCTGTTTCTCATCTTCGAACCATGGTAGCTAACAGGCCATTCGTTAAAAGTAGAGCTGGTTCGTATCCCATCATCTCCGAGCCAGACATCATCTTCGTATTGACCTTTAACTTTGATTGCATGCCTATACCACCCACAGGGTCGCTGATATACATGTCCACCTCTAATGAATTCAGTGTCACCATCATCCTGATTTGTGAAATCGTAATTAAACCGCCGGTCAAGAAGCGATTCGTCCATTTCATACACTACCTCCCTCGCAGCTTCCCCCGCAGAATGAACGTGGACAACTGAGCCATGTCCGATTCCTTCTTGGCTGATAGGATTTTCGTTCTCAATTCGACATGATCTGTGAATCAATTGCAGGTAGTCCTCGGGAAGGTGGGCATTCAAGGATATAAGTCGACGCAAGTCGGACACTGTAGCATCGCTGGAAATTCCCAATACACCCGTAGAACCTCCTGTACTCTTAAACACTATATCGATATCCCCAACTTCGGTGCCATCTCTTCCATTGACGCTCATCACGGAAGGATTTGTGAAGTGAAATAAATCATGAATTGTTAATTTTTTTACAAATAGATGACCGGGCAGTTTGGTGCATTCTTCTGGAAGTAAAACTCTGACTCCTAGACATGCACTGATTCCAGCTGCTACGAGTTTTGTTGAAGACAAGTTTGGTTCTTTTGGCTGTAAATGGATAGTTTAATAATAATAATAATAATAATAAGCATTAAATAAATATTAAATACTGTATTAATAATAATAATAATAAAACAAAATAATAACGCTGATAATGATAACAATAATTGTAATATTGTATTAATTATAATAAAAAAAATATATTTCATTCTCAGAATATATTTCTCATACGATGGATATTTTTTTTAAATTTACCTCAGCACCATATTGCATAAGCTGCTGGTGAACATCATGTGCTTTTGGTCTGTCGTGGTAATCTCTCTGCAACATGCTTGATAAAAGCTTTTGCATGAAGTCGTCAATACCGGCGGGGGCAGTATATTGGTGAAGTGGATTAGCATTCATCAGTACGCCTAGAAATTTACCTTCGGTGTCTTTTCTTAATTCTTCGCTTAAGGTGGCACAAAAAACCAATCCCATACTAAAAATATCAGCCTGTAGGTTGTAATGCCTTTTCAACACTTCTGGAGCCATGTAAGCAATAGTGCCGGCTGCAGTGTCCATGTATATTTTCTCAACATTTTCCGTACTTCCAGGTCCTATCAAAATTTTAGCCAATCCGAAATCAGCTATCTTAGCAACACGTTTGCTATCAACTAACACATTAGCTGGCTTTAAATCTCGATGTACAATTGGGATTCCGTGGAGGTATGCTAATCCTGCTGAAACATTTTTGATAAATTTTATCCTTTGTGTTTCAGTAGGTTGATTTTGTTTCAAAAAATTTTCCAAAGAACCAAACTCACAGAATTCTAAAACAATTAATGCTTTTTCAGAATCATTGATAAAATCAACCAATTTAACTATGTTTTCATGATCAGCTTCTTGCAAAGAGTTCACTTCAGATTTCTCTTTGTCGTTCATTTTTTTCAATGTTTTGATGGCAACAACTTTTCTAGTCGTACGATGCTCTGCTCTATGTACAGTACCGAAATGACCTTCTCCGATCTTGTCTCCCAGTATGTACGGTAATGTATCTATTGATAAGTTTGGTTCTTTTGGCTGAAATAACAAATCAATAACACTATAATTGTAGAACTGTTTTGATCGTTAATAAACTAAACACATGGATGTTAGCTTACCGGGAGTTTCCGTCAATATTATCAACATAACTTCGTCAAGCTATTTGAGCTAGCATCAGTTGTTTTGGCATTGTGTAAACAACGCCCTCTGGTGCCAGCGCTATTCCTGTCACGATTGGTTCCGGGGGCCTGGCCTTTCAGATTTAAAGCTCTGTCTACAATATCAAATTTTGTGTGACAAAAAAGTGTGATATGCCCATATATAGGCATGATGACATTACACCATGACCATATATAGGCATAGCATTACTATATCGTCATGACACATTTTTTTTGTCAAAGAAAATTTGATAGTGTGGATAGAGCTTTAGGAGTTGGTCAAAGATGTGTGAAAGCTTGTGCACCCCATCGACTCTGTTCATCATCCGTTTTTGTTTCCTAATTGAGATGGTCTCCATGTTGTCCTTTTGTCTCACGTTTGTTTCGTTTTGATTACAGTATGTTTATGTCATCCCAGTTTAGATTGTGGTCATGTTCCGCCATGGTCATTAATAGCCAATTTGTGTAGAGTATCTTGCTCTAAAACCAGGACACGTTATTGTAACATCTTTCATATGTTCATCTAACTCCTTAAGCATGAAAGGCCGAGGCACACTTAGGTAATCATTACAGGAATTGAACTGGCACCAGAGGGCGTTGTTTACACAATGGGCCAAAACAACCGTCTGATGCTAGCTCATAGTTTTCACACAACCTCACCAAGTTATGTTGATAACTTCGACGAAAGCTCGCAGTGAGTTAACAACAACTGTGTTTGGTGTATTAACGATGAAAACAGTTCTACAGTAATATTAACAAATCATATGAAACTATTCGAATAATAACATTATCAATAACCAAAACAGAAATAAAAATGGCAATAATAATAATATTATATATAACAGCAATAATAATAATAATAATAATAATAATAATAATAATAATAATAATAATAATAACAGTAATATTATTATTATTATTATTATTATTAATAGCAATAATGATTACAATAAATACAGAATCAACAAATACTGCAACAGCAATAAGTCTTTTATGCATTCAATTTCTGTGAGTTTAATTTGCAAAACTGATTACTTAATAATATTAAATGTGTAATATCCTCAAGAACAATTAATGCTTCATGCTTACTTGAGAACTACCGGTATATTGCATAAGCTGCTGGTAAACATCATGTGCTTTAGGTCTGTTGTGATAATCTCTCTGCAACATGCTAGTTAAAAGCTTTTGCATAAATTCATCCATACCGGCGGGAGCGGCATATTCATAATGTGGATTAGCATTCATCAGTACTCCTAGACATTTACTCTCGGTCTCTCTTTTCAGTTCTTCGCTTATGGTGGCACAGAAAACCAACCCCATGCTAAAGATATCAGCCTGTAGGTTGTAATGACCTTCAAGAACTTCTGGAGCCATGTATGCAAAAGTGCCGGCTGTAGTGCCCATGTATATTTTATCAACATCTCCTGTACTTCCAGGTCCCATCAAAACTTTAGCTAATCCGAAATCAGCTATCTTAGCAACACGTCTGCTGTCAACTAACACATTAGCTGGCTTTAAATCTCGATGCGCGATTGGTATTCCATGTAGATATGCTAATCCTGCAGAAATATCTTTGATAAATCTCGTTCTTTGTGTTTTTTCAGGTCGACGCTGTTTTAAAAACTTATCCAAAGAACCAAACTCACAAAATTCTAGAACAATCCATCCTCTTTGAGAACCATTGATATAATCAAGAAATTTAACTATGTTTTCATGATTAGCTTTCTGCAATGATTTTACTTCAGATTCTTCATTGTAGCCAAGTATTTTTAATGTTTTGATGGCAACAACTTTTCTCGTCGTACGATGCTCTGCTTTGTGTACAGTACCAAATTGACCTTCTCCGATCTTGACTCCCAGTATGTACGGCACTAACGTATCGATTGGTCCATTGACATTTTGTGCAGGTACTTCTGTAGTACTATTACTAGGCCTACTTCTCGACCCACCCATGATTCAATTATTGAGTAAATCTGTAATTTAAAATTGAAAGATTACCTCAACATTTATAAAAATAATAACATGAATAATATAAGTGGGTATTGCTACTCCAAACATGAAAATAATAATTATTGGTGATAATACTCAATATTTTAACAAAAATGACAACAATGGCACACCTTTGCATTCCGTAGTCATGCTATTTTGTTTAATATTTAACATTGTAAAAATGTAAGCTCCTCTTGTCTTAGGAGATTACTGACCCTATTTGTTTAGTTTCAACAGGAATATTTAAATCGATTCCTCTCTCATAACATGTCCTGGCCTGTCCGACGGGAGTGCAAATTTCCCCTATCCACCCACTTCCCGCTGGTGTCACCACTGCTAACGCGGCTTCGACCTAATGCTGTGTGAAAGGGTATTAGCCCTGGAGATCTATCCCAGGGTAATGTTGGGGTAATTGGTCTGTCAGAATGGGATTGCAGGGCAATTTCACCCTTAACCACTGTCTGTCCTAGACCAAAAGATCTTAGATCAATGCTTTAAGTGAAGTCGATAAACCGTAGTCAGTCAACGAAAAACAAAATACTTACAAAGATACTTACCAATTGTTCCTTTAAAATTTAAACGCTATTTTCTACCTTTGCTTTTAATATGAGCCACATAAGCTCTGTTACTGAAATAATATTAGGGTTTTTCCATTGCGTTTCCTTATCTTAAACCCAGCTTGTGCGCGTGCGCTTTTTGTTGTTATGTATCTATTCAACGCCTGGTTTTATTGGTATGCTTGAGCTAATCAATAGACCTATTACCCTTTGTACCAGGCACTGTAAACGTATGATGACAGATAATCACTAGGCTATAGAGTGTTTTTAACCAAGAAATGTTTTATTAGACTCGCAGGGTGATGTTGACATTGTTCATAACGTAGTTATAACCACTATGCAAAAGGTCAAAGAATAAAGGTGTCCTGTCAGGTCTACTCTAAAACAACAACTTAAAAAATGCTCATTTAAAAGGTGATGTTTTCTGCTTCTAAAAAGACACATAATGAAACAATTTAGTTGGTACAGATTTGATACTAGGTTATTACAAGTCAATGTTCGTGTACTTGATATACTACACCATAGAAGAAGATTGATCTGACAACATTGAAGAACCTTCATTAGTAAAGTTATGCTATGAGCTATGGCTTTATAGGTCCATAAAGAAATTCTTGGAGTTCAGTAAGTTCAGAAAAAGGAACATACATATTAGGGCAAAAGGCATGTAAACAACACTGTGATTTCCTATAATCTAGTTTATGCTATTGTTAAAGCAAGGTACTTCAACGAAAAAGTACCATATCAGTTGTGTATTCTATCGAAATCAGGCCAATGTTTCCCACAGCATAGCGTTATATAATACCTGTCTCTTATACACATCTAGATGTGTATAAGAGACAGTTATACAGGTGTACGCGTAAATTCAAACAAAGTGGACTAATTATGCAAAAATATGAAGATTCTGGACCCACTGGACCCATTTTATGCATAAAATTACATAATTTGGACCCATGTTTAAAAATGTGGACCCATTCTTTGTGGGCCCATTAGAAAAATTGTGTGTTACTGTTTCAACTGTCCCAAGCTGGCTACGGCAGTGACTACTACATAGTACAACATGTAAAAAGAGAATACATGTAATATGCTACTGTGAAAAAATCTTAATGATTAATCAAGCTATGTGTGCGGCATGTTGAAAATATGAAATCGATTACAAGAAAGGCGAGAAATAAAGCAAAACTGGGCACATGAAACACAAACATAATATACTGGAGAAGATTGTGAACGAATATGATTTATTCCAGAAGCGTTTTTGGCATGCTGAAAAACGAAGCGATTTCAACAAAGATGAGAAAAGAAAACAAACATGTACACATAAAAACGAAAATAGACTATTGAGAGAACTGTAAGACAATATAATTTTAACCAACAAGTTAATGATTAGAGCATGTTATCAGTAGTGTCTCATCATGTAAACCAACGCGGAACGAATTCGATGGATTAACTTATTTAATGAACAGTTTGGTAATTAATCATGCGAATAAGAATGCAGTATGGCCTGACGTCATAAACCTTTTTAAGTGGGTCGTGTTTTGGAGACAACCAATAATCAGCAGAAAATGTGGTCTCTTTACCAGGGATGGTTATCAGGTGACTATTAGCTTCATTTGGATTGATCCGATTTTGTAGAGCTATTTGGTACGTGTTACCCTCAAATTCAAATGTTTCTACAAATTTATCTGCAACCAAATGGAGTGGCGTGGTTATTATTCCATTTAACCCATATGGCGTCTCAGCCTCTACTGGAATGTTATCTGACGTCATCTTAGAGCCATGGTAGCTCACAGGCCACTCCTTTAGATGCAGAATTTGTTCGTCCTCCAGGAGGGCCAAGCCAAATGTCATCGTCGTATTGACCCTTAACCTTGATTGCATGCCTAAACCACCCACAGGGTCGCTGATATGGTAGCCCACCTCTAAAGTATTGAGTGTTACCACCATCCAGCTCGGTGAAATCGTAATTAAATTTCGGATCAAGAAGTGCTTTGTCAAGTTCGTAGTACACCGTTGTGTGGATACAATTCGACGAATTTCCTCTACACTCCCTTTCTTTGACATTCTAACTTTCCCAGTAGAGCCACTGATGCTTTTGAACATCACATCAATTTCAGTTGCATCAACAGTTTCCTCACAGGCGGAATCTTTTTTTCCTCTTTGCTTAACACAACTGGGTTTGTTAAGTGGAAAAGATCATGCAATGTGATCTTACTTGTTCGCTGACCACATGGAGTGCGTTTTTCTGGTGGTGGAAGTACGACGACACCAAGACAAAGACGAGATCCGCTGCCAGTAGTTTGGTTGACTGCAAATCTACCTTTATAAACTTAATAAAAAAAATATAAAGAGAACCGTTTAATATAGTGGAACACATGGCGCGCTATATGGAAGTCTCAACCGCTACTTGTCTATTTTTAGGCTACAAAATGAGAAATGGGTTTGGAATGTATTTTGTTATTATAGGCATAGACAAGCTGGAAAATGGATCACTTATACTGTATATACATAAGCCTATCTCTTTTACCTTTTTATTATGCTGCATTAGCTGTTGGCTGATGTCGTGTGCCGTTGGTCTCAGATGATAATCTTCCTGAAGCATCCCTGTCACAAGCCTTTCCATGAACGTTCCAATCGTTGCCGGTACCTTATACTTATACCCAGGAACCATATGCATCTTCATTCCCTCTCTACTTTTTCCTTTAATTCGTCATTTAATATACCAAAAAATAAAATTCCCATACTAAAAATATCCGCCTGGGCATTGTAACGACCTGTTGGTACCTCTGGAGCCATGTATGCATAGGTTCCAGCCATCGTCTCCATGTAGAGTATCTCTATTTTTTTTTTCGTATCCTCTGACTTAAAAACCTTATTAGCTAATCCAAAATCAGCAATGTTAGCAACACATTGTCTGTCAACCAAAATGTTGGCGGGCTTCAGATCCCGATGTACGATTTTGAGGTCATGAAGATGAGCTATGCCTGTTGCTATGTCTTAGAGGAAACCCATTCTCTTCTCTTCATCAGGTTCTTTCGATTTTATGAAACTGTCTATTGGTCCAAATTTACAGTATTCCAAGACAATATAAAGTGTATTTTCATCTGTGAAGCTGTTGATGTACTTCACAACATTCTTATGAACCGCGATTTGCAGAGATTTGATCTCGATCGAAACAGAATCTAAAACATCTAGGGCCTCTTCTTTAATTCTCTTTAATGCAACTGTATCTTTTGTAGAGAGTTCCGTTGCCTTATACACATCACTAAACGAACCCGTGCCCAGAGAGCCTACAATTCTGTAACCGTGGATATCCCTGCTTCCATTAGCACCCATAATGTAGGTGTAATTAAGTTTCTACTTTAGAAAGAGAGAAGAGGAATAATATTAAGGTCAGTCTATGTTGATCAATTAACGAATAGTTATTAAGCATCAACAACACATATCAACATCAATACGATTTCTGAATTCGTATCATGATGTATAGGCTATGCCAAACCGCCTACACTAATACGATTAAGAGTCCAATCACAATGACATGAGTTACCATTTGTTTAAATAAAATAAATCAGCTACAATGCTATAATAAATAATTTGAAACAGGATGAACTTACCTTCCTCAAATAATACGAATGTTATATTTCCTATGGTATTATTGCGATGATGGACATACGAAGTTTACTGTACTCTGTATAGCTGGGGTTTTATACATACACGGAATTAAAATACATTGCTTGAGAATGTACCTATATTTATCTTTGTGTTCAACAGCCTATCATGTTTCCCAATAATTACAAAAACGATTGATATCTTTTGCACACGACCCTAACATACGTGCGGATAGGCTATGTGACAACCATAAAAATGTTATTAAGCTTATAAATGTATGGGCAGAGTTCATTTTCCAATTCACTGCACTATATTAGAGAACACAGTACCACTTGATGAAGGGTGGTCGCAACAAAATACCTTTGAAATTGTTGTTTCTATTTGTAAAAAGCCACCACTGAGTATATATCAGTGCTCGAATAGGAACATGTGATGTCATAATGGTATCAGATTCATAGCCCTTCAACAGAAAGTTCCATTTTCAGTTGTATGAAAAAAAAAACTCTCTTTGGGATTCAAACATGCAGTTTCTTGATGAAATGACGAGTGTTATATGTTAGGTTATACCTAATACATTTATTTTACTATAATACAATGTTAAATACTGTTATGTTAGTTTTACTATACTTTGTAATAGTTTAGACTGTATTAGCCATATTGTAGAGTGCATGTACAAAGTTCGTTCTAAAGTGCCCTCATAAATTTTGTTGTCCAAATCACCTGTTGGCTAATATTCCAAATAAGGTTAAGGGACTGTTGAATCTGAGTTGTGTGATGATGTCATCTACAACTTCATCCTTTAGGAGATGATGTCATTCCAAATTCATCTTAAAGTTAGCAAATTCATCTTAAAGTTATGTGGTGATGTCATAATAATCTCCCCCACATATCCTGTTCATAAATGTATAAAATGAGGTACAATCCTATCATTTAGTCAGTCCAAAAGTTCTAAAGTTATCATTAACTTTATTACACGTCTGCTGTCTGCCGTAGTTCATTAAG